CAGCCTGAATATCCTTGAAAAATGCGCGTGTTAATCCACCAGAGCTAATGCCAAAATTTAAAAAAGAGTTAATGCTAGGTTCCATTTCATTTGTTATTTAATCCGCCATCTGAGTTTTTTTTTGCACAAGTGAAATTTCACTCTCAAATGCTTCGAAATAAAGAAGAGCAGAGTCAAGTTTTAAAATATCTTGTAATATTTATGTAATAATATAATAGAAGTGTTGAAAAGTAATTCTGATTTTTTGAAGTTTATCAGTCATCTTTCGAAAAAATTTTATGCGTGACGTAAATAAAAATTGTACGTAAAATATCGAGTAATAATAATAAATAAAATATGTAGATTATCGAAGAGACTACAACTAATTTCGCTAATGGCTTGACTGTACCTTACATAATACGAGATTGTTTTCCGGTTGTATATTAACTCGTGTCTACAGAAATGGATTTAGTTTAGGATCAAGGATACCGCCACATGATAGAAGGACTGGTGCGCACGATGCAGCAATGCTACTTCATTCAAGTTTGCAACCCTTCTTCCTACTTAATAACACAGCACACCATTGAGATCTACGACAACGTTACCTCAATTCTCGAGGGTTACTACGACATCGACCACCGACCTAGAAAAAAGTTCAAAATCGACGCACAAGCCGTTTCCTGGCGTTCCTGCCACGTCGAGAGAAGAAACCGATCAATGGTAGAAGCGGAAAAAGCTAAAATTTTTGATCGCTAGGTGTGTTTGAGGAAGAGGAGAAGGAGTAAGCATTTTAGTGTTATCACTCGCGTTGATGAAAATTAGCACGATCTGTCGTATCCATGAACGAACAAGCCAATAATCCAACTGATACTACTATTAAAAAAAAAGACAAAAAAACAAGATAAAAATGTAAGGTCATCAGATGAGGAAGTGTACGAGTAACAATTTTGATATATCCGCGAAATCATCGCGTCAATTACACACACGAAGGAATACCGACCAAGGGGAGGAAGAGGGAAAGGACAGGGGAATACAGAAACACACAGCACACTCAGACACTATGCTACTGAGAAAAAGAAAGCGCGGGCGGGCCGGTGGATCTGCCGGGTAATATCGCGGTCCCCGACGGGGGAGGGCCCACCGACCACAACCCACACCCCCCTGGCTACACAAAGAAAACACATTAGTGTGACGTAACACTTCGTTCAATATAATAGTAATCCGTGCATCTCGAATCGTCGCCGTCGTGACATCGCCGCCGACGACGCGCCTCTCGGAAGGACGGGAGAGCCGTCCATGTCGTCGTCACGACGAACCTCGTCGTCGTCGTCATCATCATCATCAATCATTATTACATCAATCGGAGTTAAGAGTCTCCGGTCTAGTTACCGATCGGTTTCCAGGACCGATCCGCACAGAGCGATCTGGAATCGCTGTGGGAATCGTCTAAGAATCTCGGAGGGCTGAATCTCCCAGTGCCAGCGCAGCATGCCGGGAATGCGTTCCTCGACACGTCACCGGGATCGAAATATTATACTGGATACAGTATAATATTAAAATATTACGTCCATTTCTACTAATACTCTCTAAATTCTTTAGAATAGAATCTCACTTTAAAGAATGAAAATTGAACCAATCTTGAAAAAAGTGGTGCAGTTTTCAATTTTTTTTGCCAGTACATACAGAGTCTGTTCTCTTATTTCAAGATCGTCTTAAGCAATATCTTAAAATGCGACTTTGTGATTGATTCATGACATCTTAAGACAGTCTTAACTATAAGAATCGACTATGAATGCCGGTCTCAGAGTTTTCAGAATGAGATTCACTCTGAAAGTTTTAGAGAACAGATTAATCCTCCGGAGGGTCAATATCTTCATCTGCAATCTATATTTTTTTTATCGTTCTAAGCTTTCAAGAAATATAGAAAAGGTTTACTTTTCTACTACATAACCAAATAATTTTTTCGATAATTTTAGGAAAAGAAAAATGAACATATTGTCTCCTTTATTTCGAAGAAATTTGAAAATGAAATTTCACTTGTGCCAAAAAAAGATTCATATTGCAGACGAAAGATTACTGTTGATTTAATTTACTTTTTATTTTCTTTTAGTTATCAAAATTAGAAAAAAATAAAAAGTAAATTAAATTGAGATAAAATTTAATCTATATTGATAGAAATGGGCCGAAAGCCGTAATCACTAGCGATTTTACGATTTTAATTAGTAACTGATTATTACGTTTGCTTTATTCTAATAAATTGCACATCTATAATGTGATTACGACTTAAAATAAACGGTGCTCGTGGAGGCTCGTTCCCGTTTGCATTCGGCGCGGGTGATTCGCGCCCGAAATTAAATGCGAAAAATTTCTGAACAGAGGGAAGGAGAGATCAAGACGGCGAGACGTTTCCATCGTGCACGCACATCGTGTGTTACGCACGTCGACGATCCGTCGTGTATAACGATATTATATGTAGTAAGGTAAAATATATATGCGTACACGCGTACTGGCGGGTTTTTGATGATTATAACAACGTATTATATGTACGGCAGGCGATCATCTACATGAGCTACGTACTTGTTTGTACTCCGACAGGATAAGTGTGGCGGCGGGCAAAACTGCCGCCCCGTTATACCTCAGTCTCTCGAATGGGTTCCGCTGGCTAACAAACCACAAATTATAACCATCAGTCTCGGCACTCGCTTTCGTTTTCACAACTTCGCTAAATCACTACTTTTTTTTCTTTCAGCGCGCACAAGCAGCTCTTTTTTGCCACGGATTGCATCGGCGTTCGCTAATCACCATCTCCATCGCGTTTTCTCCATTTTCGTTTCTAATATATTTTGTGCGTGTGTGATATATGTATGTGTATGTTTGTGTGTGTGTGTGTGTGTGTGTGTGTATGTACGTGTATGCATGTAAAAGAGAAAGAGTAGGTACATGAGTAAATGTTTTCTTGTTTCTTTTCCCTCCTGTGCGTGCCGCACACGTGTCGATGAATAACGCGCGAATCTCTCGTTTCTTAGTGCGTCTTCCTCTTTTTTTCACCATTTTTCACGCTGCAATTCTTCTACAGAGATAGAAAAAAGGCGATTTCTCCCTCTCGAGCGAGAGAAAGAGAGAGAGAAAGAGAAAGCAAGAAAGAGAAAGAGAGAGAGAGAAAGAGCTTCGAATGAGAGATCGAAAAAGGAAAACCGAACGCGACTGGAATCGTGTAGAACATATCCAAGTGCACACATCGTAATCACGATGAGTGTCGCATCGTTCAAACGATTCGAGAGATTCGGATATTACATCAAATGAAAAAAGGCCGCTGCTAGTCAGACATCGCGTTTCTCATGGCGGAAGTTTGAAAAATATGAAGACTGCTGTAGCTCATTTTTTAACATCTCAATTACCGTTAACCTTTACAAAAGACGGGGGGTTATTTTTGTTTTCTCTTTTTTAAATCTTACAGCGCTTTTCCTTAAGAGATTCCTTAAGATTAGTTATATATAATTTACTATTTACTCACTCACTATTTATACTTTTTATTCACACACACTCTGAACAAATCAGTGTTAATTAAATACCACGTGGTGTCTATATAATTCTCACCATGTTGGTGTTACTATTAACATCAACACCAACACGGTAAGAATTGTATAAACACTGTATGATGTTAAATTTACAGGAATATTTGTGCTGTATTCTTTGTCTCAAAATATGACAATTTCAGTGCTGCTATACATAGTAACTTTCCCGTTTTGTAAAGGTCAAATAGTGTCGTCCTTGTATTCTTTTTTCGACTCATTGAACGAACAATATTAAAATAAATATCGCGAAGTTAACTAAATGAGCTACATTAAATTCATTGAACCTCAGGATATCCAGATACATTCCAGGCCAAAAGTTTAGAAACACTTTTTAAAAAGTGATAATAGAATTTAGTAGGGTGTTCATTTTGTTACAGTAGAAAGTTTTTTTTGCGCTGATCAGAATATATTTTAGATCTAGAAAAATCTTGTCATCAAAGAAAACTTGCAACAATTGCAAAATAAACATTCTGCTGAACGCAGCCATTTTTGGGATTACTTATCCAAATATCTATAATAATATTGTTTTAATTAATTCTTTTTTAAATAATTCTCCATATTCAATAACAGTTATTGGATCTGCAGAATTATTGTTAAAAACACAAAAAGCAACTTGTAAGATTTTGTTGTAAGATTCCTCAGTGTATGATTGATTTTTACCTGTCTCACTTCTTACATTACCTTAAAACCAATCATATTAAAGAATCTTACAACAATCGGATAACTATCGGATTCTGCTGAATGCAGTCATTGTTATGGATATTTGAGTAAATAATCTCAAAAATATCAAAGTTTCTGAACCTTTGACCTGGATTGTATATCCTCTGGGCAAATTTTTCTCAGAAGCGACACTCTCATCGAGAATAGACGGAGCACCAAGACTCGCATTCGCTATCGGCTCCAGTCGTCCGAGCAAATATCGCAGAAAATCGGAATCGAGTTTAAAATTTTGAGGAATTGATAGCGCAAATACACGTGTGCTGACGATCGTTGACGCGGTTTCGAGTAGCGGGAGTAGAGAGAAAATTTCGTTGTACCGTCTGTAGAGGGATGTACGGGGAAAAAGTAGTGTGAGACTCGACGAGCCGAATTCGAGAAACGCGCGATCGAGCGCGCGCTCTCTCGCCGTACGAACGCCGTTGGAAAAAAAAATTTTTTTTTTTTAGCGGAGCGTTTCGGTGTCCGAGCGAGTTGTTTGTCCCTCGCATCGGTACAGAACGCACAATGCAATATATATTGAATATACAGATATATATATACATACACACTGTGCCACGTTAAAGATACGTACAATAATTATAAAAAAAAAAGTACATGTCGCGCACATCGATATACAACGTACGGTAATAACATCGTACATCACGTGTTAATCAATCATCACAGCAATGCTCACACTGCAGTAATTAAAAAAAGAAATAAAAGAAATAAAAGAGACAAAAGGGGAAGCGAATGTACACGGCGTGTGTGTAGAGAAGAACCGGCCGACCGAGCGAGTCGTACGCCGGAAATGAAAGAAAAAAAGAAAACGATGCTCACACAAGAAAGCGAACATAGATCCAAAACAAAAAGAAGGAGACTTGTCCAGTGTTCCAGTGTGCTTGGGCTTGGGCCGTTCCTTGGAACGTTAGTTAACGTTAACCGGGGCTCAACTGATCCTCCGTCTCCTCTCGAAGACGGAACCAAAAGCGAAGGCAGAATCTGCAGCAGCTAGGACAGATAGAATCTGACTGGGAATCACCGAAACCTCAGTCAACCTTAACTAACATTTCTAGGAACAGCGCTGTTGTATCGAGGAAACGGGTAGCACACACCGCAGTGTTATAGCGCCGTACATCTCTGATCACGTCACTTCGAAAGCTGCGCGGCTCGCCCTTGGCTGTTTGATTCCAAGTCAGCTGACGAGCACCTCCGACGCGCCAAAATAAGAATAAAAAAAAAAAGAACGCACACAAACACGTACATGCAACATCTTAGTGGAAATGAGGCGTAAAAGAAAAGAAGGAGAAAGGAACAAAAAGAAGAATGGAGACTGGGGAAAGGCAGAAAGGAAGAGAAAAGACACATAAGAAAGAAAGTAATATGGTGAAGGGAGACAATCGAGAGAAGCGTATGACGGCAGCCAAAACGGTCGTAATCGTTAATGTATATTCCATCGAACGTCAGAGCCATCAACGTGTCTCTCGCGGCAACAAATAACAATAGCCAGTAACGATTCCCAACCACGTGGGCGGTGGTCGGCTGCTTTTTTTCTTTTCTCGTTGTCACGCGTAAACGGGAGGCGTGTTTTACGTACATGCGCCCCATTAGCGTCTCGCTTAACAGAGATACTAAGGACAGAGGAGTTGGTGACATCGGGAGAAGCGATATACGATCGTATACGTGCGATCGTATTACGCGACACAAGATCCACCAAACAAAGAAAGAGAAAGAGAGTAAGAGGCAGGTGCGGTGGTGATACAGAAAGAAAAAAAGAACAAAAAGAGAAAGATACATCAGGAGCGATATAATTAGCTGCCGCAGTGACAATAATCATGGCGATGCAAATTGCTCGACGCCGATATATATATACTGGCTGCCGGTTTTCTGGTTTTCTTTTTTTATTTGTGGAGGATAGTTTAGAATCAACCACAAAAGACGGGTGTCGCATGTAATAATATATATATGTATATATATAATAAGCACACGGGCGAAAAATATTAATCGAAACTCGCAGTCCGCAAGCACTTACTTGTTAAACAAAATGCAGACATTGTGAGACGTGTGTAGAGACAGATAAATAGTAGTAGTAAGTAGTAGTAGAAGAGAGAGATAGAGATAGAGAGAGATAGAGAACACAAAAGGCAAACTGAAAAAGGTCTGCTTGTAGGAAATCATAGTACATGGTACATATCGATCAAAAAAGTGTTCGCAAAAAAAAGTCAGAATATATCAGAGGAACCAAAGAAAGACGATGAAAATATATATGTATAGATAAATATAGAGAGAAACGGTTAATCAGATTATTTAACACGGTCAAACAATGAGCAAACTTGCGGATGATAGTGGACTTGCGGACTAACCATGTAGTAATCCTGAGAAGGGGATCTGCCTGTCACAGATACATTCTGCACCAGAGTTCTATTGCTCGTCTGAAAGTAGGTGACACATCCAGTTTTACATCATTAGCTTCACGTGACATTCCAGGGTAATTGTATTTTTTTTTTTTTCTTTTTTCTTGTCCTATCTCTTTTCTGTCTTTCTTAAATCGTCTGTTCGATTTTCCGTTCTATTTTTTTTCTGTTCCCTTTTAGTTTATTTTAAATTTTTTTTTTAATTAAGCCGTTCTATATATTAACGTGTGCTTCTCGTGATATTGAACACTTAACGACCGTTGACTGTGCGAGACAGACAAAGTTACAGAGAAAAAAGGGGGAAGAGAATGTAAAGAGAATAGAAAGTACGTATAGTGTAGCTATATATAATATATATAATATAAAGTAGAGAAAATTGGTAGAGAGACAGACAGAGAGAGAGAAAGGAAATATACGTATTCGCCGCGAGTTTCTAGATGGACTAGAATTTCTTACATACGTTGTGTGCAACTCATCCGTTCTACATTATATTGATTTATTTTGAAATCGCATCGTGACCGGCTGTAACGGAGCTGCAAAGGACCAGCGACAGTCGTTTTCTTTGTCGCGCCACAGCCCGAGCCGCCAAAATGATTGACAGTTAGATATGTAGACAGATATTTGACATTACTGCAAAAAAATTCGCTGCGCAATCATCGTATAGAGTGAGTTATCGGGTGTTTCGGGGATTCTTCGACGAGAAACGGACCGCAATCGTTACCTCTGGCACACGCCTAGCTAATAGACTGCCGACCGCCAACTGACGTCGCCGCCTTGTTGATCGTAACCGATGTAAAAAGTAATTGGACACAACACACATAAATGCGTGTGAAACGTTTTTACAACTTGGGGAATTGCAATTTTTAATATTAACGGAGACATACCCAACAGACGACGCGAACGAACACACCGTCATTCGGCACCGTCCGCTTTAACTTGTGCGACAGAGTATAGAGCCTTCCGCTTGAACGTAAAATCGATAGGAATAGCGGGCGGCTAAGGCGGCTAAGGACAATAGCGAAGTGGAATGAATCTTTTACGTATTACGTTCTTGAACCGCGTAACAATGAAAGTTTCGTTTTGCCAGCTAATTATGAGTAACCGTAGGCTACGGATTTAGATACGTTACGTACGAAGATGGGAAGAGACTACCTACTTTACACGAGTTATCCGCGCGAGAGTTACGTAAGAGTCGCCCGTTTTAACGGTGAGTGTGGAAAATCGTATGACGGAGTCGGTGTGTAAAGACGCCTCTTGCGAGAGAAAGTTCGGCGAAGAAAGTTTACCACGAGGTGCTTACACGTGTTCGATTTCAACATCCTACTTAACGTCACTCGAATATTCAAAAACAGTGCTTCACGGTGAGAGTATATATAGATGTACTTTACGAAGACAACAGAGTCTAGAGGGGCAAACCTCCCCCGGAGTGGGAGTGTTCTGAGTTCATCGATCGGCGAAACATAGACATCGATCACTAGACTCGGAGAAAAGTGGTGCACACACTTTCGGGGTTACGGAGACGTGCCCTCCCGAGACGAGGAAACGAGAGCGTATTCTGACATGTAATCTCACGAGAACTAAAGGGTGAGATAGAGCATATATCAAGGGGAAAGAGTGGGAAACCGAGCGTAAGAGATATCAGGAGCGGGAAAGAAACAAATAGAGAGAAAGAGAGTGAGAGAGTAGAGAAAGAAAGAGAAATTGGCTGAGGACTGCGTGGACCACTGCTAAGTTGGTTCTGGCTGTCTGTGGAGAGCTACTGTGGATGCAAGCTGTACGGGATATAAGAACGTATATATAATATATATATGTAATATATATGTACGCGCAAATATATGTAAGATATATATATGCTCAGGTCGAGAGCTCGTCGACGCCAGAAAGTAGTATCAGGAGAAACTCGACTCAATCAGAAATCGGTGATATATGCTGGTGGTTTCTATTCTCCCTACGCATTGGTCACGACACTCGCGATCTTCTCTGAGGGATTTGGAAGAGTACCGCGATCAGAAGAGCTGGGACAAGGCGAAGACACGTTTCGATTTGCATGCCAAATAAAATAGATCGAAATAAACGCGGTAACTATATAGATTTTTAAAACTGTACAGTTTTAAAAATCTCCACACACATTCCGATCTCTACTCCAACCTTTCACTGATCCCACATAGCATACTTTATCCTAAGGACATTCTGGGGACATCCTTACGATATAGATCATCTTCTGAACATTTTTAAGTCGTCCCTTCGAAATCTGTGTTGTATAGGATTCATATATAAAAATAACTCCGTTAATTTTCAGTCAATTTAAAGATACGAAAAGAATGTCAAAGACGCACCTTGAATAGTTTTAAGGGAAAAATGATATAAACACAGGAAAAAAAATCTCTCATTCGTGTATCTTTGAATCTAGCAGAGTTATCGAAACGTTCCAGCTACCATTTGCCATCCTATGTATACGTTTACTTCGATCACAGTTAATTTCTCATGCAAATCCCGCGGATAAAGACATCACGCGTCTAGTCCCAACTGTCCTCACGTTCCTCCCATATCGCTGGTATTCGCGTATACGAGGGGGAAAGGGTGGAGATAAACGGGCGGAGAACAAGCACTAATTTGTGCGTTTACTACGGCAGGTCTCTATGTGTGTATTGTGTATGTGCGTCAACCCTATCAGTGCGTCGTTCTCGTCGAAGAGTCGTGCATGCGCGATCAGTGACGCTGGTCGAGTCGTAACGAGTTCAGGTAAAACGTTTTTTTTATCTCGCGTTATCGTCTCTTGTCTGCCGTTTCTCTACGTTCGGTCCTGTCACCCTAATCGCGGGGCCGATCGACCGTGTCCGGTCGATCAGGGCCCGCGACCGATTTCCCCTACCTGAGATAATGACATGACAGTTTAGACCTAGCTTCTTATCGGCATAGACTTACACACTGAGTTTACTTGTTTAGAAATATATATATAGATATAAATATATGTATATATGTACATGAATATGTGCACGTGTTGTATCCTAATTGGTAAGAGACACACGGTTAGATGTATCGCGTCCCTGAAGGAGTGAGTGGGAGAGCAACACCGAGAGTGTCGTTTGTGAAAATCACGCGTGGCTCTTCGCTCTCCTCCTTCAGCCAAAGATCGTTCCCCGCACGCTCTCACGAGCGGGCTATCGAGTGGGCGGTTAACGATCCGTCTATTTGGACGCGTTCAATCGTCTGTTGTGAGGCACTCTTATCGCACACGGTCGTCGGTATCATCGGATCGAAGTGTGGAAAAACGCGGCCGCGGTTCTCTAACGTGGTAATGGTGGAACTCAAATGAAAATGCAAACCAAGGTAACGGTCAAAACTGAAACAACTCGTTATTATTGTCGCTGTCGATGGTAATAAGTAGAGTGGTGATAGTACAAGTCGTATATAAGTGGATTTATTATATTTTGTATACGTATTTGTTGATAATAAGAAGAAATACGCGCGCGGATACGTTCGACGTTCGACGTGCATACGAACGTCGAGTAATCGCGCGCGCACACTGAAAAAAGTACTAAATTTTAATAAATATTTGAATAGTTCCCAAGTAAATATTTACCAATGTAGATATATATTTATTTGGTACAAGAACTATTCAGCTATCACTTTTTTTATTGAGTGAATACTTTTTTATTATAAGTAAATGTTTACTTAGTAATATTTGAAAAATATATATATTAAGATTTAGTAAATTTTTTTTTTCAGTGCGTTATTAAAAGAAAGAAACAAAGGTTTTGATCCACTTGGTGCTACTAATGCTTCGAATGTATTCTTTGATTGGTCAATTAGTGACATTCTTTCTTCTGATTGGTCAATCAAATGCTTCGAAGCATTTCTGGTTAAGTGGATCGCACCCAAAGTAAAGAAAAGAAAAGAAAAGAGTCCTGAGAGTTTAAAAAACGTTAAGAGGACCGTATGTGACTCGTGTGGTCTCGCCACCTGAACCCGCTGGATCCGGGGGCGCTTTTTGTTGAGTTTTCTCATTTCTGTTTTCGTGAATAGAATAGGAATCGAGAGAATATTGAATCTTGAGTTGAATGATGAGATAATGAGAGAATGAGAAAGAGAGAGAGAGACAGAGTGACAGAGAAAAATAGATAGATAGATAGATAGACAGAGAGAGAGAGAAAAGAAAGATAGGGATAGTTACCTGTGTTTGTAGCCGTGTTAGACCACGGATCCATAGAATTTGTCCTGCGCGCGGCTTTTTATCCGAGTCAGGGTCGAATTTCTCGTCTCCTAGATTGATCGCACCGATATCATCCGGCTGGCCGCGGCCCCATCTGTTTTTGAAAAAAACATGAAACCATTTCTTCATCACTCGGATTCATCCTGTTAACTGAATGGAATAGAGAATGGTATGATATACTTTGTATTGTTAATTTCTTTCTTTTGTTCTTTGTATTTTTTTTTAGGCAGCCGAGAGACGGAAGTTTCGCAATCGGCGCTCTCTTCTCGGACGCGCTGCACCCAACACAGTTTTCCCCTCGCTCCTCAGGAAATCCCTAATCTATTTACGATGTGCTAACGCTACGCGGAATTCGATGGTGTAAGTAAAAGAATAGATTTATCGGTGATAAGACGGGGCGAGATAGTGGCCAGGTGCGTGTTTGTGAGTATGTATGGCTAACGAGTGGATCGACTCATATTATTGGCGTGATGGAAAGATGTGATGAAATGCGGAGTGTTTGCTAACTGACATTTGATGACTACACGTTGAAATCATTTTCCATGACAAAAATTTCGAGACATGCGCGGTTCTTCAGTTATCTTCCAAATATAGATTAGATATCTAGAGAACATCATAAAGATACCATAGAATGTCTCTCGTTATAACTTTATTTGTCACTTATATGTGATACCTAGGTTGAACATAGAGTCATAAAGATACCATAGGAGTCATCATGACTAGATGTTAAGGATCAAGTAAACTTACAAGTAACAAAGGTCATAACAACGTCCTTACAATATCATTACGATTTCTATTCTACATAAAAAAATTTTAATATTCTCTGACTAATTCAAAATAATATTTCACGTCAACAATAAGTGGAAGATGAATCGATAAATGAATAAATAAGTGAGAGAAAAATTTTTATATTTGATCAAAGCGGAATTATAATAACATTCATATGTAAATTAGTACATTTTCAGTTCTAGAAACTCTATTTGCAGAGTTTAGAAGAAACGATCAAGACATCCAACTTCTTTTTTTTTTAAAGGAATACAATAGATGTACGTAGTTAATCTCACGAGAAGAAATTATTTCAATCTTCGATCAAATAGGCTGTTTAGCGCACACTCCGTTCGTTAGTAAATAGAGAGATGCATAATGAGTGCAAGTGCAAATATGTCGTGAGCAAAATGTGTTTCTACTGTGATATGGTATAAGAAGTTAGTTAATGTAAAGCATTAGAAAGGTAAAACTTTTCTCCGATCCGCTGTCGATTCAGCCTTCCATGTTACAACCGATAGTAAGCATGAAGAAATATGAGAAATGAGTGAAAAGAAGAGAATGAGAGAGAGAAAGAGAGAGAGAGAGAGAGAAAGAGAAAAATATATAGGATCATATGTGCGCGAGATGTCAGAGAGAATGCATTTTTTTCTTCGCATTCAATGTGTGATACGTTAGTTTTCCCAATTCAAAGCCTCCTTCAACGATAAGATACAGATAACTGTTTTGATAAGCTACCTCATACCTTTGTGTCTTGCAATATTATACTTATATCAAAGAAACAATGATAACCCAATCCCTTGAATTAAATAACATTTTGTTATTTTTAACTTTCATATGAATCAAAATGTAAATTAATCCATTTCCATGGATTAGTTTCAAAGTAAACAACGTCTGTAACTAACGTATGCACTTTATAAATAATAAATTGAGTCAAATTTAATACATGTTCTTGAGTTAAATTGTTTAACTTCATTGTTTTTGTTAAATTAATTTCATGGTGAGTAGGAGCAGTGACGATTTATAGAAACAATTAAAAATAAATAAAAAGTAGATTAAAAATAACTCAAATAGAGTACATAATTTGACATTATATAAAATTAATAAGTGTGTTAATGCGTTGTGTTTCCGTTTCGTTGGCTTGTGTCTATCTCGCGTTTTACGTCGTCGGTTCGTCTTCTTCGTTATTTCTAGTCTTTCATGACACGTCGTCAATTTTGCGTCAGGTCGTCGCTTTGGCAAAAAGCAGGTGCGATTCTTACCTGTTGAGCGAAACATAAGCGTGAAAAGGCGCGTAGTGCCGATGCGACTACGTGTCGCCTGTCGTCGCTATTTATAGGCACTCGCACAGGCTCTCTTGTGGAGAACGGCACTCGACGATGGACGGAATGATGTGTCGGGCCGATCCATAAATTCACGTGATAATTAACGTTCAACAAGTATAAAGAAAAAAAGAAAATGAAATAAAGCAAAGTGGCAACGGAGATGATCTAAACCGAAGGAATTTATTTACCGCCGAATTATGTTCCATCTCCTTCAAAAATCAATCGGAAATATACGTGAACTCAGAGACCAACCCGACAAGAATCGCTCTTCTCTGTTCTCCATATATATAGCAAGCGTACGTCATCGGTTCTCGCTGTCCTGGACGATGCCAGGACGCGATGGATGCACGTACAATATCATACAATATATCGGAGGGAAATATGTATATCGGATTTCTGTTCACCTACGAAACGGCATACACACACACACGCGCGCGGTCGTACACACACACACACACACACACGCAGACACGCATACTGACAACGTGAATAGCCGGTCTGGTTGTGTTATACAAGCGGGTATATGTACTGTACTACATACTCGGCGGTAAAAGCTTCGCGAGAACACTCCCTGTAACCTTTGGCCAGCTGACCCTTCCGCTCGTGTAGCATTTTAGTAGTGTCCTCGACTCGCGTACACAGAGTAGCGGCAAAAAGCGTGTATATTCTCGACTCGACGCGAGATTAACTCGCTCGCCTGTTACACGGGCGAGCTTCTCGCATGCGGCGGCATTCGAACCATGCTTCTTTTGTGTATTAGGAGCTATCAGCTTGAAGAAAAAAAAAAAGAAAAAAAGACATAGGAGAAAAAGATGCGAAAGAGTAGTACGAATGATCGAAAGTTATAATCGATGAGTTTAGATTTTAAATTCAAATGCAGCAAGCAAGTAAAAAGTATTTATATCTTTTCGTTCTCAATATTTCATTGCATCGATAGGAAAGTGACACTTTTCAAAATTAATAACTTTTCGGTAGAGCACTTTTAATCCTTTGCAATCATATTTTCAATCCCTCCGTTTGCAATCTGAGATTTTTTTGTTCAAATTTTTTTACTGTTCTAGCTTTTAAAAAATATAAAAAAATTTAGTATTATTTTTCAACGTCTCCATTACATTACCAAATAGTTTTTTTTAATTTAAATGTTAAAATTTTGAAATTGAAATTCGAGTAAAAATGAAGAAATTTAAGAGCAAAATTTCGCTCATATCTAAAAGATGCAGATAACAAATGGAGGATTAAAATTCTAAATTAATTTTAATTAGAATAGTAAATATATGTACATAATTTTACTTTCTTTCCATGTTACACTTTTAATTATATGTACTCTTTAAAACTATATCATAAGTTTCCAAAATTCGGATACTGCAATTCCTTTCTGTCAACACAGTGATTTATTTTTTTTTCTCAATGAAAATATTTTTTCCTTGCTTACAGTATCGAAGACTGATCCTCGCCGAGATTATGTTTCATCGACAGGTGTAAGACAATTAGTGTCACTACGGAGAGTCGTATCCAGTCGGACATGATTGTGTACGTGTACATATATGGAAAAAAAGAACGTGTTGAATAATAAGGAAAAGGACAAGGTAAAAGACGATGTAAGGATAAAAGAAGAGGAGAAAGAGAAAGAAAGAACTCGGAGAGATCGCGTAAATTCAACAAATCGAGTGAAAGAACGTGTGTTAATAAGCGTTATCGATCGCGAGATCGTTTCAGATTGTTCCTCATGCTTAGTTTAAATTAATTATCGAATAATCGCGTTATTAAACTAAACAAGCTTTCGTCGTTTTTTCCAGTCCGTCTCGTTGAATATTCAAGATCGTGCGCTATGCATCGAACTTCAATTAGTACTTGCGACAGCATAACGTCCGCTGTCGCCTCGACACCGCTTATACAAACAAGTATGTAGATTTCCAAGACGGCTGTAATCATGCAACGATTAAGGCCAAATTACGTACAGGTTGGAGGAGCGAGGGAATACCCGGGATGGGGTTCATCTCAGCATGCGTGATCATTTACATTTGATTACGATTGTGATTTATGATCAGAGAACCATATGATTAGTGACAATTACAGTACTAAGTAATTTTTGAAATAGAATTATTATAAAATTATCTTACACTTTTATTGAAATTTAAGCCATTACGATTTTAATATAAACGTATATAATAATTATTATATATGCTAATTGTGAAAATCCTAATGCCTGTATCACATTAAAAATTAAAATTGAATTTAACCAATTAGAATTTCAAGAAAGAAAATCAATATCAAGCTTAATGAACTTTGCTTTGATTGATCAACTTTTTATTCAATCTTAATATCAATATCTAGTCTGATACGGGCACAGTTCTGATTATCTTTTTTATTATAGATATCTATATATAATTATCCAATTAGACTGCTATTTTGTTAATTTATAATTTTGTAATTATACAGGTCCAACTTGTTAATACGAATATAATTGAATTTTATATGTAATAGTTACTTTGAGATTACTTTACAGGTTCATTAAAGATTTCTATTACGGACCAAAGTGAAACAATCACGCGAGCTTGCACATGAAAGGTAACATTCTTCGGGAGTCGACATAAACTATTACTAATCCTGCGGTGTATATATATATATATATGTGTGTGTGTTTATACTGATCAGCACGAGTGAGTTCTAGATTCGGCATGCAAAGGCATCTACGCTAATGAGACGAAAACTTAGAATGCTAATTCACGTATAATGGTAGATTAGATAGCACTTCCGTAGATAGTCCATATAGATATCTATATTTACTCTAAGCTTTACGGATTTGAGCAGAATGTTGATTTGTTAATGATATTAATTTTAGTGATCACAAAAGACAGTTCATTCACCTTACATTTTTTTTATGTTTTTGACATTTATGATGATTTTTAGCAATAAAAAACATCATAATGCAAAAATTCCAATTACTCATCAATTATATATACAAAAATATATATAAATATATGTATATATATTTATCAATTTATTTTCATAATTGTAATACGTGTATATGCGCGTGACCAATATTATCAGAATTTTTATCATAAATTTTGGAAATGAAACTGAAAATTGCACGATTATCAATCTTAAACTAAATCTTAAAATAATCTCATTTTTAAATAAATCGTTCTCTACAAAAAGGAAAGCATCGAGTGTTGTGAGTATGCGATTTTGTTCATTTCTCTCTTTGCAATAAACCTCGTGCTCAAAGATCAAACAAAAGAAATCGTGTTTGTGTATTTGTATGTACCTATATGTGTGTATGTGTTTGTGAGTACATAATTTTAACTTACGAAAGAATTTTGGGAATTCGGCGTGTAGGAATAGTCGTAACTATTTGGCCCCATATTAGCGTACCGATTCCGAAGAACAGGCACCACAACCACTGGTCTAAACTGAGCGCTTTGGTGCTGAATGCCATTTTACCGTATTGTATGATAAACACCTATAAGCAAAATAAACAGACAATTGTTCATCAAAAAACAATGCTATTTAAATCACTGTTAAAAAACAAGCTATTCATCATTGTTCTGCAATGTATCATCAATAAGCAAATAAACTATTATACGAGCTATTTATCGATGGAACTCTGATCTAGTGATCCGTCGTCTTTACACCGCGATCATAACAATAGATAGGAGCAAAAATAATTGATAACTTACTTGCGCGAAACACGTGCAGATCCAAATCGAATAGAAGATGGGGTTGGTGAATATTCCCTGGAAGACATTGCGTTGACCGTGAATTTTCCTGGCGTTGAATTCGTTGAAGAGAGTCATCATGACGAACGTGTTGAAGATGACGGTGAAGTGTTGCGTGGGCCCACCGCCTGCCGCCGCTACTCCGCGGCCCGTATCGATGTCGAGCATCAGGTCACCTGTGGCAGCCATTCGCGAAAGTTTTACAAAGTTCTGCTCGATAAAAACATCGAACGATGGAAGTTCGACGAAGCGAATTGGCGAGATCGAGCAGTCACAGGAAGAGGGAAAGGAATAGTACTCACCGGCGAATAGAAGCGCGAAAATTACACCCAATTGATAAAAGGCCTGACCGAGAATATTTTTCATCATTGTCCTGGAAATGAGTGGTTTTGTGCGACCGTACGGTCTACGGAGGAGTAGATCGGGCGTAGGCAATTCGGTGGCCAAGGCGAGGGACGCTAATGTGTCCATGATTAGGTTTACCCACAACATCTGCACCGCCTTAAGCGGCGAGTCCTGCACGGCACAAGCACCGATGAAAGCGACAATTACGGCGACCACGTTGACGGTCAATTGGAACTGCAGAAACTTGGCGATGCTATCGTAGACGTTTCTGCCCCACATAACCGCCTTCACGATCGACGAAAAGTTATCGTCCGTCAGTATGATATCGGACGCTTCCTTGGCGACGTCTGTACCGGCAATACCCATAGCAAAACCGACGTCGGCTTTCTTCAAAGCCGGACCATCGTTTGTGCCGTCGCCGGTTACTGCCACGACCTCCCGACTGTCGCTCGCCTTACTGTCAATGATGCCTTTCACTAAGGTGTACTTGTCGGTGGGAGACGATCTGGCCAATACTCGTAGTTTTGGCCACACTTTGTCCAGTAAATGTTGCTGCACCTCGCCATTACTATCTCTGATCCTGCGGTTGAACTCCTTACCCTCCAGAATGAGGAAGTCTTCGTTCGGCTTCAGGATACCACACTTGAGCGCGATGGATCGCGCGGTGTTTATATTGTCACCCGTAACCATGCGCACAGTGATGCCGGCTTTTTGGCATTTTTTGATCGCATCCGGTACCTCGGGACGTACCGGATCCTCGATACCGACGATGCACAGGCAGGTGAGGTTGTTCACTAGATTATCCTCGTCGTCCCAGTTGGGCTCGTTGTCGATGTGAACTTGATTGATCTCCGCCTTGCCAGGAACAAAATCGCGATAAGCGATGGAGATGGTACGCAGCCCGTCGCATGCCATGGGTTCGATCACGTTCTTTACTAGACGCTCTTGCATATCTCTGGTAAACGTCTCCAGATGACCCTCGCGACCATATATAAAGGCACATCTATAATAAAATCAATCAGATTTCTAAAATTTCTCTTTAATCTAAAAAAATATAAAAAAAATTAATTTCAGGACACTAAGGTCGAATAAATTTTTCTCTTTTAAAAAAACATAGTTTTTACTTTACAAAATTGTTCAATTGCTGAGATGACTGAAATGACTAAAATCGCAGGACTTAAATTGTTTTAAATCGTAATGTAATGTGTAGATATCAGAATAAAATTATTTACGTACTTCTTCATGATGATCTCGGAAGCGCCCTTGGTGAAGAGCCTGAATCCACCACCCTTTCTAGGGATAACGGTGGACATGCTCTTTCTTACGCTATTAAACGTATACACCCGCGTAAAGGTTTCCTCAGGATAGTCGTCCCGCACGGTTTGATATTTCTTGCCCAGGGCTAATACGAATCCAAGTAAGGCACATTCGGTTTTGTTGCCAACCTGTGTCGGCAATTCAGCAGGGTCCTGCGACTCCATTATCCGCGACGTGTACGCCGAATTGATGGAGATGGCCTGTATGATCAACTCGCCGATGTGGCTCGGAATGTCCGAGAAATTCGGCGTTGTCTTACACATCTTCTCGCATATGTACGACTGTACCACGGTCATGCGGTTCGTAGTCAGGGTGCCGGTCTTGTCCGAGCAAATGGCGGTGGCGTTACCCATCGTCTCGCAGGCGTCCAAATGACGCACCAGATTGTTGTCTTTCATCATTTTCTGCACAGAGAGAAATGGACGGTTTCAAAGAGGAAAAAAGAACGGAAGTTTCGGTAAAGTTAACACGGAATTTGTGTGATCTCACCTTGACGGAATAAGCGAGCGACAAGGTGACGGCTAGAGGAAGACCCTCGGGTACGGCGACTACGAGCACCGTGACACCGATGATCAGATGTCGCACCAGATCACCAGCGTACGTATTTCGCCACGGTTTACTCTCTATGACGAAGGTCGTCACGCAGAACTGTATGATTAGAATGAAGACAGTGAGCACCGCGATGGTCGAGCCGGCGTAACCGATCTGTATGGCGAGTTTAGTTAGCTTGGCTTGCAGAACACTCTTTTCTTTCTTTCCACTCTCCCCGGCGCTCGCGGGTGCGGCTGCGTGATGATTCTCGCCGCCCTCGTGCTTGACACTGCCGCCACCGCCACCGCCACCGCCTCCACCTCCACCTCCACCTCCACCGCCTCCACCGCCGCTTCCCGTCACGTGACTGTTCCCGGTAATCTCTACCGACTCGTCTCCTTGATTTACAGTACCAAAATTAGATTGCGCTCCATCTGTACTATATGCCAATCGAGGTTTAATCGACTCAAGCGATCAATTTTTACTCGCACCTCAGCAAGGACTCTGATCATGCTGCTAATCGATCGCAACGCCGACTGAACCTCGATCGTTAAATTCAGCACGAATATATACGAAGTTGTTAAAAGCATTCTAATAAAAATAGTGGATGCTACTTAAGTTAATGGATAAAAGTTTAATGAAAGATGATTAAGATTAAGTGGCATAGCAGTTACATGTTAAAAACACAGATTTAAAACCACGGGTGTTTATATCATTACTAAAATGCAGAAAACGAGAAGCTAATGCAAGAATGAAATAGCCGCTAACGTGTCAAATGCATATAAACCACTGCCAATAGAACACGCAAAAATTAATAGGGAACGGAAGCGTGGACAGTGTAATTTCGTTTCTTCTCTTACACTCGGTCCTGGATATAGCGTTTAGTAGCGAGCAATATATCGAAATTGTCCTTTAAATAAAAAACGCATAGTATCTACCCTCATCACGATTTTCATTATTTTAAATTAATATTATTGCTTCAAAACGCGCAATATATGCCAGGTCCGAGTACATTTAAACCGTGCTCAATGAAGAGAGGGAAAACCGACTTTAATCAAATATTACCAATACGATAAAATATTCCTTTATACGCAACATTAGTACACATAGTATAAGGTCGTAGGTACAATTAATCGAAATAATATAGAAGAAAAAAAAAGAAAATATACCCGAGTGATACAGAAAAATGAAGAAGATGAAGTGAGAGATAAAAGAAAACTGAATGCTGCCTTGAGAATTCGATCAATTTCTTGGTATTAATAGTAACGTATATGTGTATAATGTATACACATAATTATATATTGAGATAAAAACAATAAAAATATGTATATATATATAGATATTATTTAGAATTATTCACCTGGTAATGACTTCTTCTTCCGCTGCTTTTTAGCCTCTAGATAAAAAAATACATGCAAAACGAAATTGATTAGCAATCTATCTGAAAATGTATATGCCAATAAGTCGCGCCATTAACAGAATTCAGGTCTTTTAATTATAATTCTTTTTCTTCTTTTTCTCGTTAATTTTCTTAAAAGGGTACTTAATACTAACAAATGAGGTAGGTACAGCCCAGAAGGTCTAACATAAAGAATAAAAACGGCTACTGTTTTACACCAATAAACGGACCAATTTTCACTAATATAATTGTAAAAGTGCATAAGAATGCATTCCTGATAATATATACACGCACGCACGCACGTATGTACGCGCCAGGAAAATACAAATTTACCTTCCAGGTTGTGCAACAACGAAATACATACAGAGGAGCATGGATCGTCAAAAAAGAAGGAATTATGCCTTTGATATTCTATTTCCATATATAAAATGTCCCAAAAATGGCGTACTTTTCTCAAAATACAAATCTAGAAAAATTGGATTAAAAATGGCAAATTATAACTAATATATATCAAAGATTCTGATAAGTTTAATATCTGAAAACAATCCTCCCTTTTTTTTTTAAATAAACGTCATACCTTGACATTTTTAATATAATATTATTAAAATGTAAAATTTTTTTTAATTTTAGTCCTTGATTTGAAAAGTACGTGACTTGTAAGACAGTTTCTATAAAAATGATTTGAAAAGATTATAGAATAATAACAATTTAACCAATTTTGCAATTATCAAATGTGAACCTCATATACACATATCAGACAAAGATAAGAAAACATTATACAGTAGAAACATTATACAGCAAAAACATTTTAGCTATGTAGAGGGACAAAAACACAAATGACTCAAGAAAATATAATCAAATAATAGCACCTTGAAAATATTCTACCGATAAGAGCTCCTTTTTTTTCTCATAAATTATATATGACACTTTACTAGAGATAAGTTGGCAGAACTGTAATTTGCAAATATTACTTTCGATATTTGTCTACAGTGCCTAATACATTCAATGTGTATAATTGAATGGGGAATTTTTTGTTAATGAAAGAATTGTCATGAAATAATATTGCTGCGTCATTGCATTTTATGAGAATATTTTACACTTTTTAAAACTAGTAAGTGTTCGTTTTTGAAACGTTAACAAATCAAAACACAGGTTTTCTATAGCCAATCAGTTAATGAGTTAATAAAAATACAGAAATTCATCTGTTGTAGGTGTTGCAAATGCAATGTCAAGGGTAAAAAACAAGGAATAAAAAAATGACTATTTGTAAAATCCGTAATAAAAAATTATCACACCAATTCACGTCAAAACCATGCGTCCACTGCGATTCGTCTACACTCATTTTGAAACATTTCATAAATATCATGCGAAGATATAATAGAATACCAACAACTTCTATTAGGTAAATCGCCGTAAATTCACTGTTTGTACGTTGTAACTTATTCATTTATTACCATCTTAATAATTTGAATGATTCAGAAGTTGCTAGTAAAGAGACAGGTGTACTAAATCATTAGAGTGGAAAGAATATGGAAATATTGATTTTTAAATTAATCTAACAAAACCTAATAGAATTTTAAAAAACACGTACTATATATTTATAAAAGATTACTCCAAGAATTTAGTAACATCTGTATAAATATATAGTCATTCAAAGTAATTAGTCAATAGGAAGTAACGATTACACGTACCTTTCTTCATTTTCTTGATTTCTTGCTCCTGTTGATCAACAGCAGCACCCAGTAAGGTAAAGATAATACCCGCTTGGGAATTAACACCTACTGCAGTAACTAACATTTTCCCGGAACCCTCCATCACGTGCGTACCTTTTCAACAACACAATATATACAAAATATATAGTTTTTCGTCTTATGACGATTCTTCAAAAATTTTGAACCTTTTTTTATGCAATAGAAATAATGTAGTAATGAGAATGATTCAATCAAGGCTCTCTCACCTGAAAGTACCATAGGATCAAACGCTTCCCCTTTCTTTACATGATCTGACTCTCCAGTCAGACTGGATTCATCCACTTTGAGATCGTTGCTTTGTATAAGAATACCGTCTGCAGGCAACAGGTCTCCATATTTTATCTGTATTGTCAAACAGCTAATTTAATGTAAATTTTGCTTTCTTCTACTACATCAATATATAGAGATGCCGCTCAAAGTTAATCCAACAGGTTAAAACAGGTTACTATATATTTAAAGACTATAAAGAATTTGATTAACGATGCTGCATATATACCTGACAAATGTCACCCACAACAATGTCAGATACAGAGATTTGTTTCACTTCTCCTTGCCGTATAACCGAGAACTTGTGTTCTCCCTCTATCCGACTTTGAAGACCTCTAAACTGCCTCTCCTTGGAATAATCATTAAACGCAGTCACTAAGACCACCACAATTACAGAAATCAATATAGCGAGTCCTTCAATCCAACCGTATTTCGCTTCGTCCTCATCTACAGATGCTGGAGATAAACGAAAAGAATATATTGTAAAAATTTCTCTTTTTCTCTCTCTCTCTCTCTCTTTCTCTCTAAAGTTTTTCTAAGCCTAAAGCTGATACTCTCTGCAGTTATACATATAAACACTATATACATATATATATGTATATATAAAAGATTTTAATATAAATTCCTCACTATATACTATCTAACAATAAGTGGAAACTACTCATAGATAAATATATGACATCACATCATAAATACTTACCTTGTGTTTTCTCATCATCAGCAGGATGATAAAAGCTAAGACCTAATGAAACCAATGCTGCTACTTCTAAGATGATTAACGTGACATCTTGTAATGCTTCCCATACTAACTGTAAAAATGTTTTTGGTGGCTTTGGAGGTATCATATTGGAACCAAATGTATCTCGCCTATGTTGTATGTCTGCTGCTGATCCACTAAGACCTACACAAATTATCATAATGTATTTCTCATCATATGTCTTCCTATGTCAGACCGGTAGTCCAGTTCTTATATTTAAGATCTTTTTTAAGGACAGTCTTAAGATTAATGTCAAAGCAAGTTATATAGAGAGTCGTATTAGCATCTTAAGACTTTACTTGAGGCGATCTTAGAATAACAACTGGCTATGAATATTGGCCTAAATCTTCAGAGATTAGAAGAAAGGTATATAAAGCTCATCTCTTGTGTCGACATAAATGTTCTGTCCTAGCAAGACACAGCTAACAAAACCTACCTTCATTGGGTGAAGTATACAGCTTTTTACAAATCTCCTGCACACCACCGTAGCCATTGATTTTGTTGACACCTTCGCGACCCCGGAGCTCCATGAGCTCACGGAGTTGCTTAAGCGTGACACCATATTGGGCCGGCCGGCCGTCTATCGTCGCCATGATATCCCTGTCGCTTCTGTTGGCCGAAGCCAACTACTGTTACGCTTTTGCAAGGCTACCACAGCTCGTATTATTCTCTGGCGTCTCTGCTCCACTGGCCTCCAAGTGAATGGAGGACCAACGGCTGAAACATAAGAGACACCTTCTTCAGTTATCAAGTCTACAAGGGTGTAATAAATGCTAAATGGATATAAACACATGTTCCATGTTACATTCATATACACATGTTATGTTTGATTCCATTTGTAACTTAAATTATCGCAGTGCGTCCACTGACTGGGAAATTACAGTCTATGGACCACGTTGACACATCACGAGGAAAGGATTAAACAGTAGAAATCTACCATCGCGAGGCGACGTGTAGGACACATCGTTGCACGACGACAGGCCAGCTCTCCTTGTGATCCGGCGGTGCTGCGGGAATCGGGTGAACGCGGACGCAATCGATATCGGGCGGCCGCGTGTCAGGAAACTGAACGAATATCCGACGATGAGGACGACGATGACGGCGATGAGGACGAGGGCACGCGGCTACGCTCGCGACGGACGTTCTCGTCGCTTATGCAACGCGATTATTGATTCCGGGGGTGTGCAGCGACGTCGAAAGGAGCAACATCGCTTCGCCGTGCTGGTGCCTGCATACACGTACACTCATATATATATATACACACACACACACGCATATACGACGCGCACACACATACACCACGTCGACCCTACCGCGGCGCTTCGCGCTAAATGTCAAACTCCTTTAACCCGGCGCCGGAGCGAACGCGCGCCGCGCACCGTGTCACGGAGAGAATCGGCGGCGAGATCGGAGATCACGAGGCGCTCGTCTCGCGCGCGCGCGCTAATCTCGGAGGTCGGTTAACCCTCTCTCTCTCCCCCGAGTTAAAGAGCCGAGTACACTCGCCCCGTCCTGTCCGTCGGGGGCGCGTTCAGATTCCTATCCCGAGTACGTTTCCTAGATATCATCTTGTCTCCTTGTTCGATGAACGACAAGGATAAAATGATACCTGAAGAGTGTGGCACTCGAGTGGGAATTCGAACATAGACCAGGTGTTTAAGCCCGCTCCCCCTCGAATTGGAGCGTTCCGAGATTGAGGTTATGCGCGCTTCAGGCAGGGCGAGCGGGCTGCGCGAAGCGGAAGCGGCTGGTAAGCGACGTGAAGATTGGCGCGGATCGCTCAAGTGCGGAGTGAAGTCCGCAGGTGAGGACCTCACGGGGTGAAAACGAACGCCGTGAACGCGGTCGCTGATGGAACGGAAAATACCGCTAACAGGACGGACTGTCACTCGCTCTCTCGCTCGATAGGAAACAAACACGGTGCTCTAAAAATAACGACGCGCGTCGGAGACGGAGAGCGAGGGAATGCGAAAGAAAGAGGGAGAAAGAGAGAGAGAGAGAGGGAGGGCGCGTTTACCTCCTGATGATTCCCCTTTCGTGCACGTATTCGGAAGGTGATGTGCTCCAAGGAAATCGACGAACAAACAGCCGGGCGACCACGGCCCTTTTAAGGCTGTCCCCCTCCCACAGTCACAATTTCATGATTTCCTGTGAGTGACGTATTGGAAGGAGATACTTTATCGCCGTGCAGGCACAGGCAGAAAGACAGGCGAGTGCGGTGACGAGTGGTGCATCCAGTAATGTGTGAAGATAGCTCCCTATCTATCACAGTGGAGGCGAGAGTTTTGAGTGAAATTAGCCATTAGAGAAAGAGAGAGAGCACAAAGTAATAACCTAGTAATAATCGATTCGTGTTGCCATCTAGTAGATTGTGAACGTAACTCCTCTCTTTTTCCTCTCTCATTCTCTATCTCTTTTTCTTCCTCCTTCCCCACCTTTTTGTCTAGGATTGTTATTTTACCTCGAATCGTAGATTCGTTACGTATACATACGAACGCGCGCTTTACTATGCTCGCGATACTTTGAGCCTTTCATTTTCGGTTGCACCTGTCGGCAACAACGCCACTTCAGGCGTTCAAAACGAAAGATCCACAATTATAATAAGATCAAGATGACATGAAGTAGAAGTCACATTCTAGGAAAAGTCATAACGATGTTATACTGATACACTTTCGATAAAGATTTTGCGTGTAATTCTCTTGACATGACAATTATTTTTAAATAATTTTTAGTTAAAAAATACAAAATCACATTGACGTCATATACACTTTTGAAGATAATTTTGTGATAAATTCTTGATATGACGATAATCTTAAAATGATCTCTAACGTCAAAGTCATTTATCTTATAAAAAATTATTTTGATAATTTTGTGATAAGTTTTGACATAATAGTAATTTGAAGTGATTTTTTTTAATTGAAAAAAATCATTTTAGGAAAGATTATAATTATGTTATTTGATACACTTTCGATGATGATTTTGCGTGTATATCTTGACATGACAATCAGTTTTAAATGATTTTTAGTTAAAGCCCATTCTATAATTGCGTAGTTGTAACTGATTGTAATTGTAAGAATTAACCAATCACAGTCAAGTATAAGGAGAATATTCGATTGCGATTGGTTAATTCTTACAACTACAACCAGTTACAACTATTCTTACGCAATTGTAGAATGGACTTAAAAAAACACAAAATCATAAAAATAAGTAGAAATCAATACAAATATAAGAAGGGCAAAGAGCCAAGTAAATCTATCGAACAATATTCAATTATTTAAAATTTAATAAAACGCTTTAATAGATCTTTAAAAATTACAAATTGACAGACCTTTCGACTCCGATCGGGTCATTTTCAATGTTACAATAAATAGAATTAAAATGAATAGTGAACGCATTCTTCATCTGATATAAAGTATTCGGTATAGCTTAAGTCAGGTTAAGCATAAGTAGAAATCATTTAGAAAAAATCATAATATTCGATGCACCTTTGACGATAATTTTATAATGAATTTGATGATAATGATTTTAAAATGATTTTTTTTTGTTAAAAAATTACTTAAAAATCATTACCAAAAATTCATTACAAAATCATCGTGTGAAATGACATCAATATAATTTTTTCTGAAACGACTAATTTTTTTTAATTAAAAAATCACTGATATTACTATCATGCCAAAAATCCATCATACAATTATCAAAATCATAACTCTTTATGAGATAAATAACTTTGACGTCAAAGATCACTTTAAGATTATTGTCAAGAATTTATCACAAAATTATCTTTAGGAGTGTATATGACGTCAATGTGATTTTTCCTAAAATGACTTCTACTTGATGTTATCTTGATCTTTTTGTGATTTTATTATATATTTTATCTAGGTGATACGTAACTTGAGGAGAAAGAAAAGAGAGGAACACAAAGACTGCGTAATCGATGTCCACTTTTACCAATGTAGATTAATTGTAATCTTGATATAATTTACTTTTTGTCTTTTTCTAATTCTATATAAGAATTAGAAAAAGATCGTTAACCTATATAATGTTAAAGTTAAGTTACATCTAGAAAAATGACCACGACACGGGAAAAAAAGAGAAGGGCTCCTCTGCGAGATAAAAATTTCGTCCCGAGAGAGAAACGACCCGAGTACACATCGGAAAGAACATACGGAAATTTAATCCGTTCAGTAAAAGCCCTCTACGACGAAAGATCAACGGTGGGACGATGAGAGACGTCGGGACGCCGGGCGTCGTCGTCGCGACGCGACGCGGAGACGCGTTCTCTGTGGTTCTCAAGATGGTCCAGCTCACTCGCGGACGGTTCACGTAATCCTCTCATCTCCCCAGCTATTTCGAACCGGGCGATAATCAGCAACGGCTGCGTTGGTTCCTTTTACGACTCCACGCGAGATCGCGACGTCTCAACTGCGATGTCAAACAATCGAAGGTAGTGAGGGAATTTAAGCCTTGTGTACAATAATGAAAGTACAGACAATAGGAATAGAGAAAATAATCATTGTATATTATAAATTTTGTAATTTTTTAATCAGGCAATTATTACCTACTCATTAGACAATTGTTATTTATCTACAGTATATTGAGAAAAATTTTCTGATTGTACGAACAAGAAGAGAGTACAAATAAAATTAATTTGATTTATAAATTAGATATTGAGGAAAATGTTTTGATTGTACCAATAAGAAGTACAAAAAATAACAAATTCGATTCATATAAATCAGATACTGAGAAAAATGTTCTGATTGTAGCAACGAGAATACAAACAAAATAAATTCTGATTATATAAATCAAAGTTCTGGTTGTCGTAATTAAATTTCTAGTTATCTCGAGTAGAACGTTTCATAGATTTAATTGTCTAATTTATATCTTTCTGATTGAATCTATCAGAATTAATGCAACGAGACTTTTTTCAGCGTAAATTTATCGACTATTATCGCGAAGTTAATTTGATAAAACTTCTATTATTTTGCAAAACTGCTAGCAGTTTTTCATTATCTAGAATGGGTAATATAAACTTGACATTTTGCAACTTTCATGTCTGTTTCTACCACTATAGAGTAACTTTGATCTCGATTTATAATTTAATTATCTTTTCTAATTTTAGAAAAGATAATTAGAAAAGATAAACAGCATATTAAACTGCGATTAAAGTTAATCTATATTGATAGAAATGGACATTAGTCGTGAAGGGTAGATGAAGGATGGTATACGAATTTGAACGAAATATGGCTACGTTAAATATTAATTCATAATGTGTCTTTACATTGAAAAAAAAATGTAGTTGTATCAATAAGAGATACGAACAAATTGTATTCTGATAATACCAATCAAAATTCTGGTTATCGTAATTGAATTTTTGATTGTATTATCTCGACTAGAATGTGTTTGATAGATTTCATTACGTTTTAAAAAATTCAATGTGGATGTTGAATATAACCGTGGAAGTTAAATATAATTCTCACCTTGTTAATGTTGACCTAAACGCCAACAAAATGTAGATTTAACATGAGTTTTAAATCATACTGTTAAATTTGTAATGCCAAATTATAACTTAATTTGAGTTAGTTTAATTATTTTTGCATTGTGT